TTGGGCCATCTTCCACTGCTTTCCGAGGCCACAGTGGAGAGCTGGCTCAGAAGTGGAGCAGCCGGGACTCAAACCAGCATCCATATGGGATGCAGACAGTGGCTTTACCTGCTATGCCACAGCACCAACCCCAGAAATGACATTTTGCCAAGGCATTGATCACCTTCCAATCCTTGAGGGTAGGCAGGGTCCCTGTGGGAAGCAGATGGCCCAAAATGGGTAACTGGGTAGAGGCTAATGAAGAATCTCTTTGCAGAGGTCCTGCCAGGCCTAAGAAAACCAAAACAGTGAAGAACGGCTTTCACTCCTAAGCTCTTGGAGGCATTGGAGAGAGCTGATTCACTCCACTGGGAAGGGTCAGTCTCACCAACTCACAAATTCCTTCCATTCCATTAGGGAAAGTAACAGTCTCGACAGTGGAGGGCTGGTTCCCTCCGGCAGGGAAGGCGGACACTCTCCAGTGAGGACAGGTGACTCCCTCCGTTGATGAGGACAAGCTCATTCCATTAGGGAGCTCTAATTCCCACCACTGGAGAGGAAGGGCTGATTCCCTCGGTTGGGAAAAGCTGATCCCACTGCTTGGAAGGCTTCATTTCCTCCCAAGAAGAACCCAATTCGGTCACAATTGGCTGCTGTCCTTGAGGGACTGAGGCATCAGTTCCCTGAGCTCACTGTCCTGCTCTTCGTTGTCCTACTCCAGAAGCAGTGGGAACCTGAGGGCAAGGAAGCTGTTCTTGCCTTTCTCCTTGATGACCCCCTGCTCAAAGTTCTGCACAGCAGGGCCGGAAGTGGTAGGCAGGCGTCTGCTGGGGCAAACGAAAAATGCTCAGCCGAGGTACTGTGCACTTTACCTCTAAATGCTCACTTCTGATTGCCTACCTTCCCTGACTAGAGCATAAGCTCCTGGAGGACAAGGGAGTAGCCACTTTGTCCCCCACTGTGTCCCAAGGACCTGCACATAACCTGCTTCCAAACCACGTTTGTGGAAGACTGAATATAAGCAAAGGAAAAGAAAATGCTTACCCAGTATTTAACAGCAAGTAAGTAATAAGAGACAGGCAGCATCTCTTACAAGGTAAAAATATCCCCTAACAGGGTGTCTCCCTGCAGTAAATGGGTTCTTATTTGGCCATTCTGCCCAAAGCAATATAGCCAAAATATATGAGAAGGAAAATACAGCAGGGTACAAAATTTGCTGAAAAGATTATATTTGTGCTTTGCTTGGAGTGAAGAAAAGGTTTGGAACTAGAGTATTTTAAATTGCCTTTAAAAAAATACAAGAACTATATCTTTTGCCCAGCTTTTCAGACCAGCGGTCTTAAGAATGAGGGGACAGTTGCCAGAATTATTCAAGAAACTGTGTTAAACAGCAGAAAGATGACAGGTTGTTGGATTTTCTGCCAGGGGAGGTTTTAGAGACCAATGTTGTCTGGATTTGATGACAGGTAATGACATTAAGTAATTACAAAACTAATCACATTTGGAGCGGTGGAAGCTGAGATCATGATAAGCATAATCAAATCCCTGACTTCGGGGCTTCGGGAATCAGAGGATAAGTTTTCTCCTCTTGCAAAGCTTGACCAGATGCATTTCAGGGTCCTTTGTCTGAATAGTTTGGAAGCTGCAGGCAGCATCGAGAGTGGAAACCAGCACTCTGCATTGCGGTGTGCACACTGGCTAGAGCGGTGCTCCTCTAGGGGGCTGTGCTGTAAGGGGCTCCACATGAGACCTCAATGGCTGAAGATGAGCTGTGCCCATCCCATGGTCGGGAGCTCCACGAGGGTAAGTCTGACCCTATCAACCCCTTTTCTCTTCCTCTACAAGTCTGAAGACCTGGACTTGCCTCTCCTTCACTGGACAGACCACAGCCCACTGAAACCTCAACTTCTTCTCCTACAAAATAAAGATAAAAATGCCTCTCCCATTTGCCTTAGCTTCTTGATATGAGAATCTATTGCTTCTTCTATGTGTTATAAAACTGCCTTAACTATAAAGCGTATTGCTCTTATTGAGCCAAATTAAATGCTCAAGGACTTATGACATGAGCACCTCCATCACCAGAAAGGTGGGGAATTATTAAAATCAAGAAGCTGGCCACCTGCTAGTGGTCAGTGCCCCTTCCACCCCTTTCTCTCTTCCCTCTTGCTCTCTCGGGCCCCCTGGGAGAAAGAGTACAAGGCTGTCTCCTTCAAAGCCTTTCCATCCCTTTAATGAGACAATAGAGCAGTGAGCTGTGCCATGAAAATGCCCTGGCCATTCTTCTCATCTACTAACATTCCTGAAGCCCCAGTGTAAAACTTGAAAGGAACTGAAATCCCAAATGTAAATACTATCTTTCAGTCACTTGGAAAAGTATCTACCTCTACTTTCTCTCTCTGATCAACTCACTCACCCCCAATTAATGTTGTCCTTTGAGTTAAACCTCATTTTTCAGAAACCAGGCAATCGCTTAAGAAAGAGAAAAACATTAAGAGACCCAGATTTCAATGAAGTCTGCTGTTGATTTTTTTTTTTTTTTTTGGTGATTCTGGGGAAGGCATTACTCTCTTGGCAACCTGGAGGCAAAAAACTCAAAGAAATAATGAAGATTGTGATGACCACAGCAGGCAAGAACTGAGACATTTGCTGTCTTGCTCGCCCTGGCCCTGCTTTAGAGCAAAATTATGAGAGTACTTCCAAAAGTTCTTGGAAAGTGAATTCTAAAAGATGTTTATTTCAGTGCAAAAAATTTTTTTTGAAACCCATGCATAGTTTTTTCATGGCACACATGTTCCACGAACTTTTTGAAGACCTCCTTCCCACCATTGTGTGAGAAAAATGTGAGGACTACCAAATTGTCCATGACAATGGAGAGTCTGCTTTCAGGTGAAAGACTTCAGGGAATACAGTATTTTCCTGGTACTTTTTTAGTGCAATGTATTTAACTGGAGCTTTACAAAACCGTGCTGGGTTATTTTCAACGTGCAATCAAATAAACATCCAATCTTACTTTTTTTAAGCTGCATTGTTTCTTAATTGCTGAACTCATACCGATCATGCAAGGGAGCAGTGATTTAGCACACCAGCACATGCAAACACACACAGGCACCACATAAATACGACAGAGGAGACCACTGATACAGATATAATTTTTAATGTGTTTTGTCATTGAATGCCTATCTGAGGAAAAGAGTCTCCACGAAAACAGATTTAAAACAACAGGCAGTTTAATCAGATAAGTACACAGCATTCATCTCTGTCCCCAGCAAGATGATTGCATTATAATGAATGAAGGGAAGCAGCTCATCCGAATACATCTCCTCTGAACAACAGAGTGAAACCAACTGTCACAGAACCCTTTCCCGGGGTGGGGCCTGGAGCAGGGTGATCACCATCACTAGGCAGCACTACTAGAAACGAGCCAAGGAAAGAAGTGATACAATTTAGAATTTCATTTCAGAAGATTTTTTCTTCCAAGTTCACTCGATTTCCTATCAGGAGTTCAGCTCGGCAGCACAACTCAGCAACTTTGGGAAGCCCTGTGGGGTGCAGCGTAAGTCTCCTTCTGTGGGCACTGAGATGGGCAATGGCTGTCAAGGAAGTCCAAAGGGAGGAACCTGGAGCGAACCTCCTCCTCTCAAACCAAATGCAGAAGGTGAGGCTCCTCGATTCCAAGGCCATCTATGGACAGCTATCAGAGTGGGCTTGCTACTCGCTGCTCTCGTGAAATGACAGTGTTACATTTGCTCCTGAGGATACAGCTCTGCCATGGTGGTACTGAGCATCCATTGTCTCCTAGGTAGCCAGGGGTTGGTCAGAGAGCCTGGCTGGGAGTCCCAGCGCCAGCATACTGGGCCAGCGGCTGACACGAAGGCATTCATTGGCTCCCACGGTGTGCCAGCTGTGTTACAAGGTCCTTATCCTCCACCCCCACCCCACAGAATCACAGGATCAAAGGAGCTAAGTCCTGAGGTTCTCTCCACGTCACAGACAATGTGAACGGAGAGAAAGTGATTTGCCTAAGACCACACGGTTATTAAATGTTTAGAGGCATTCAGAGCCAGAGCCAGGTAGTTGACTCAGAATACCAGGCAACCTCCATGTGGCTGCTCAAAGGAACTGAATTTGGTTGAATGGAAGATCGAGAAAGCAGCAGGCTGAAAGAATGCAGGAAATGACTGGGCTCATTTTTAATCATCCCAAAATGATGGAAACTGATTCTCCTCTTCAATCTCAGCAGTGTTCAGGAATTACAGAGAGAAAAGCATCCTCTTTCTACTTCCCTTCCAGAATCTCCACCCAAAAGGGTGCATAAGGGAACCAGTCCCAGGACACACAAGCACGTCATAGATTGCCAGGGAACCAGAGATCAGCACAAGACACCAGAGCTGTGTACCCCAACAGCTCTGCCCTGTACCCCCCAGAAACCTCATGGTTCTGGGTTCTACCCTGGGACCAATGCAACAGTGGAAGGCAAGTATCCTCTTTGTGGCCCATCACAAACTATGCATTTTCACTGTCACAGGTGTGTTCTTGGTGTGATTGGCATGTGATTGTGTAGTTGGTATGATCCTCAGTCCACAAGGCGGGCATGTAAGAAATACAACTTTTAAACAGTTTAGTTTCTGTTTGGAAGCCTCATACTCCAAAGGTGGCAGAAACTCCATCCTGGGGCCTCACCTTCCCCTAAAGTGTGCCTTCGGTCCTTAGGGCTGGCAAGGGAAGAGGCCTCAGTCCTGGATGTCATGAGTCTATTCAAGCAACCTCTGAGATCCAACTCCATCTCTCCACATGGTCCTCAGACATTGGTTCGCCCAAACTGCCTTGCACCTGCTCTTATTCCACCCTTATGTCCCCTTCCCCAGGTTTGACCCTCTCCGTAGTGACGGATCACAGCCCCACAGACTCATTTACTGGTTACGCTGGGTTCCCTCAAGTCTCCAGTTGGGGCTGATCCAAGACTAAGCAGTACTGTAAAGGGTTGCCTCTGGATGAATGAAACAGAAATCCAACAACAGAGGTGTAGCAAGTAGAAATTTATTATGAGACAAAAACATCAGATACAGAACTCAAAGGTGTAATCAAGGAACAAGTCCCTTTCTGTCCTCCAGCCTGGCCACAGTTGAGCAACTGAGCACATGAGCACCTGAGAAGGAAGGAGTCAGAAATGAAAGAATCAACAAAGAGATGGGGGCCCGAAGTAATGCCTGGTAGGGGAAAAAAGGATAAAAACAGTCTTAGTCCAGTTTTGTGGCTATAAAAGAATACCTGAAACCAGGTAATTCATAAAGCAAAGAGGTTTGTTTTGGTTCATGGCTCTGGAGGCTAAGAACTCCAAAAATGGGCGGCCACATTGGCGAAGGTTCTGTGCAGCATCAAATCACGACTGAGGGGAGGAGGGGAGTGGTTGGTTGGTGCTGTCATCTCATATGGACACTGGTTCAGGTCCCAGCTGCTCCACTTCCGATCCAGCGCCCTGCTGATGCACCTGGAAAAGCAGTGGAAGACGGCTCAAGTGCTTGGGCCCTTGCACCCACATAGGAAATCTGGATGAAAACTCCTGATGCCTGGCTTCAGCCTGCCCCAGCCCCGGCTGTTGTGGCCATTTGGGGAGTGAACCAGCAGATGGAAGATCTCTGTCTCTCCTTCCCCATCTGCATCTCTGCCTTTGAAATTAATAAATAAATCTTTTTTTAAGAAAAAAGAATTGTGTCTACAAATCACATTGAATCTATTTAATTAAAAATTTGTAAAATAATTTTAAAAACTCACAACTGGTTGTGAGACTTGGATTGAGTTCCCACCTCCTGGTGCTGATCTGGTCCTACCTGTCTATTGCTGGCATTTGGAAAGCGAACCAAAGATAGGATCTCTCTCTCTCTCTCTCTCTCTCTCTCTCTCTCTCTCTCTCAAATAAACAAAAGGCAGTTTTTAAGAGAAGTAAAACTGGGGCCCAATGTTATGCCGTAGGGGGTAAGGCCACCACCTGTGCTGCCAGCATCCCATATGGGTCCTGGTTCCAGTCCTGGCTGCTCCACTTCTTATCCAGCTCTCTGCTGTGGCCTGGGAAGGCAGTGGAAGAAGACCCAAGTTCTTGGTCCCCTGCACCCATGTGGGAGACCCGGAAGAAACTCCTGGCTCCTGGCTTCAGATTGGCCCAGCTCTGGCAGTTGCAACCATTTGGGGAGTGAACTAGTGGATGGAAGACCTCTCTCTCTCTCTCTCTCTCTGCCTCTGCCACTCTATAACTCTGCCTTTCAAATAAATAAATAAATAATCTTTAAGAAGAAGAAGAAGAGGAGGAAGAGGAGGTGGGGAGGAGGAGGAGGAAGTGGAGGAGGAGGAGGAAGGAGAAGTGAGTGTCTGGAGTGAATCACAGACAGCTACAAGGAGATGTAGTTCAGCTGGAATGAAGGAAGAGATTCCTGTTTCTGCATCAGAAGAAGGGTCTGCAGCCCTTCTTCCAAAAGCTAACCCTATTCCAGATCAGAGACCAAGTTCTTGTGAGGACTGGCTTGTGGAGTTGCTGTGAGGACTAAGGAGATCACTGGTTCCTGCTAATGTGAACCCTGGGAGACATCAGGTGATGACTCAAGTACTTGGGCTCTTGCTACCCACATGGGAGACCTGGATGGAGTTCTCAGCTCCTGGCTTAGGGCTGCTCCGACTCTGGATATTGCAGGCATTTAGGAGGAGAATCAGCAGATAGAAAACCCATCTTCCTTCTTCCCTCCCTCCCCTTCCTTCCTTCCTTCCTTCCTTCCTTCCTTTCCTTCTTTCTTTCCTTCCCTGTCTTTCAGTCTGTCGTCCTCTTTCAAGTAAATAAGAATAAATAAAACCTTAAAAATACCAAATCTGAAATGTTCCCAAATCCAAATATTTTTTGAGTGTTAACATGATGCCACAAGTACAGAATTCCCCACTTGACTACAGGGGATGGGTGGTAGTCAAAACACAGGTGCACTAAAAATGTTATATAAAATTACCTTCAGGCTACATGCATAAGTTGCACATGAAATATGAATGGATTTCATGTATACACTTGGGTCCCATTCCCAAGATGTCTCAGGATGTGTCCAAGATCTGGAAAAAATCTGAACTTGGGAACACTTCTGGCCACACGCATTTTGGATAAGGGAGACTCAACCTGTACGTATAAACCATTAAAAACAGCGCACAAGTTAATAGTAGCAAAAGTAGCAGTAGTAATACAGTAATATTTCCTATAGTTTTCAAAGATGTTTAACTTTCTTCCAGAGTACTGCTTAATCACATTGAGGATATGGTCATTTATTGCAGTGGAATTTTATACTGTGCTGAAAGATTTATTTCCCCTCTATAAAGTGTTTCCAACACAGTGACAATTTTTCTCAGCAGAATACCTGCTAAATGACTAGAATTAGAAAAAGAAATGTAATCCCCAGCAAATGGAAGGCAATTCACTCCAGCACAGTCAAGTTAAATAAATTAGTTAATATTTACAAATTTCTTACAGGTGAAAAGTGTTATCTGTGGCAGCTCTAAGTTCTGCTATGAATGTGCCTTTTGTGTGCTGAAACAAATGATATTCCTTAAAACAGCAGAGTCCTTGGCCCTGGAAATGTCTAAGAAGTAGCACAACTTCACGGATGGAGTACAGAGTTGGATATCACCACACCAAATTCAGTCAACAGACAGCCCCCTGTAGGGGAAACCTGAAAGGGGTAGAGCTTAATACCATACCTCTCAGATGTCTTTTCAGGTGACAACTGTACAAAGGAAAATTCTGGAACACTGTTTTTTTTTTTTTTTCCATTGGGCAACTTCATTGGCACCTTTGTTCTGGAGCATACAAATGACTTCTTGATTCACGATAAATCCAAAGAGAACATGTGGTCAATTGCATTAAATATGAGGAAAATATTGGCAAGCATTTGCTGTCAAAAGGAAAAGATCAAAAACAGAAAATTTCAAGAATTTCACTTATCTCAAGGCAAATTTAATGTTTTGGTAGGAGCAGGTTCCTCCAAGCACATTTGATGATCATCATCTCAAAAATTACAAGACATGGGGATGGGATGTGACCTAGCAGTGAACATACTGATTAGGACACCCATGTCCTATAGTGGAATACCTAAATCTGCTCCTGGGCCCTGGCTCCTGACTCCAGCTTCCTGATAATGTGGACCCTGGAAGGCAGCCCTGGTGGCTCAAGTCCTTGGGTTCTTGCCATCCACGTGGGAGACCTAGATTGAATTCCCAGCTCCTGATGTCTGGCTCCTGAATGTTTTTGGCCTTTGGGGAATGAATCAATAGATGGAAGTGTGCTCTCTCTCTCTCTCTCTCTCTCTCTCTCTAAAACATGAATAAAGACTTCTTTAAGAATTACAAGATACATCACTGAATAAATAGAATCTGAATGGGGCCTCTTACTTAAGAGATGGTAGAATAAGTCAATATCTGACTTTTAATATATGTCATTTAGCGGGATAATTGATATTTGACCATTTCTCTGATATGTATTTCCTTGGACTTTAGGTACAAAATCTTAACTTTCTTTGACAAGCCCAGGCTGTCTGCATCCTTTAGTTGACAGTACAATCTACTTTCATCAACACTTCAGTATCTCTCTTTCTCTTTTCTTTTTTTTTTTTTTTTTTTTATTTTTGACAGGCAGAGTGGACAGTGTGAGAGAGAGACAGAGAGAAAGGTCTTCCTTTTTGCCGTTGGTTCACCCTCCAATGGCCGCCGCTGCAGCCGGCGCACCGCGCTGATCCGATGGCAGGAGCCAGGAGCCAGGTGCTTTTCCTGGTCTCCCATGGGGTGCAGGGCCCAAGCACCTGGGCCATCCTCCACTGCACTCCCTGGCCATAGCAGAGAGCTGGCCTGGAAGAGGGGCAACCGGGACAGAATCCGGCGCCCCAACCGGGACTAGAACCCGGTGTGCCGGCGCCGCAAGGTGGAGGATTAGCCTATTGAGCCACGGCGCCGGCTTCTCTTTCTCTTTTCTGTCACAGTATGGACACACAGAGAGACACATGCATACACACACAACATAAAACTGTCGCTCCCCGTCTTCATGGAGGAACGACACAGGACCCTGCGCTGTTCTTTTGTCTGCTCGGCCCTTCCCGGGTTTGCTGCTGGTTCTTCCCGGGTTGGCTACCATCCCTTCCACATCCGTGGAAGGGCGGTTCCCCCTAGCCACTTTCCCCACTTCCGCGGGGGAGTGGCACACCGCCGGCCGGCTCTCTCGGGGGCTGCTCAGATGTTCCTCATAGATGTTCCTGGTGCATGTTGTCTCTCTCCTCCTTTATAGTCCTCCTCCACCAATCCCAACTCTGCTACCCACACGCCAAGTACGCTGCTCTCCTCCAATCAGGAGCAGGTCCTACAGTTTATTGGTTGAACTGGAGGCAGCTGTGTAGAAGCTGTTTGCTCCTCTCCCAGCGCCATATTGTGGGAGAGCAGATGCATAGAATAAGTCTTAATTCCAGTAACTTAGTCTAGTCCGGGTTGCTCCCCACAAAAACAATGCCTCTGGCAACATTTTGTAAGAAAGATGGGATTGCCTTCTCTCTCCCATCTCACCTACTCTCTGTTCCACATCCCAAATAAAAGCCAGCTCCTTGGAAAGCACAGGGGAAATCAGGGGAATCCACGTACTTCTGCAGGCTCAGTCTCAGGAGTCCAAGGACAAAATGATTCAAAGTCCCTTATTTACAGAGTCATTGTTCTCCTGGAAATATTCAGCTTTCTTCCAGCTCATAGCTCTTTTTTTAAAATTTATTTATTTATTTATTTGAAAAAGTCAGCATTACAGAGAAGGAAAGGCAAAGGCAGAGAGAAAGAGGGAAGGAGAGACACAGGGAGAGAGATCTTCCATCCACTGGTTCACTCCACAAATGGTTGCAATGGTCAGGGCTGGGCCAGGCTGAAGCCAGGAGACAAGAGCTTCATCTGGGTCTCCCATGTAGGTGAAGGGGTCCAAGGTCTTGGGCTATCTTCCACTGCTTTCCCAGGTGCATTAGCAGGGAGCTGGATCAGAAATGGATAAGCTGGGACTCAAACCAGCACCCATATAGGATGTCAGTGCAGCAGGTGGCAGCTTTACCCAGTATGCCACAGTGCCAGTCCCTATAATCAGCTCTTAAATAATAATCAAATGGTGAATAAATGAAAAAACAACCCAAATGACTGAACACTTCTGAAACCACAGCAACACATCATTAGAGGAAGTATTATGGTAAACTGGAAAGAGCTGAGACTTGAAGTCAGAAACTAGCTTCCAGGTCTTCCACTGGCTTACCACTTGATGTTACCTAAGTCTCATTTCCCTGAATGCCAAATAGAGATAATAACATCCACTCAGATGCTTTCTTACCACAAATATAGTACCCTAATAGTTTAGAAAACAGCTGGGTTCATATTGTCCGACTTGATCCTTCCAAACACCAGCTGGTGGCAAAGGGCACCCACCTGTTGGCCTGGAAACACAAGTCCATGATATGGATGGTAAGGCCTGAATGAATACAGTTAATAAAGTTGTACTCCAAGTTGGAAGTTCCAGCCATCTCTATAGCTTCTCCAGGTAGCATGGTCAGTGACTTGCAGCTGAGAGGACAACTGTTGGCCTCTTCCTGCCTTGAATCCGTCCTGCTTCCTGCCATCCATACTCTCCCTCTGAACAATCACAGAATTAAGACACCGCCAAGGGCCCTGAGCATTGTTTCAACTGAGTACTACTGGAAAAGCACTCACAAATTCACTTCTCAGCAGGGACTAAATATTTAACAGATGCTCAGTTAACGGGGCGGAGGATGTCAGGGCTTATACCCAGCCAGGACATATTTCAGGTTTCTTGGGCCATATGGTGTCTTTAACAACCACTCAAGGTGGTGCAAAAGCAGCCATTGGCAGCACATCAACAAATAGGTGTCTCCGTGCACCAATAAAACTTTATTGACAAAAACAGGTGGCAGCAGAGGTCTAGCCTGGGAGTCTTGTTTGCCCACCTTTAGGCTACACCAACTTGCAAAAACTCCTGTCAAAAGTCATATTAGGGCCGGCGCCGCGGCTCACTAGGCTAATCCTCCGCCTAGCGGCGCCGGCACACCGGGTTCTAGTCCCGGTCGGGGCGCCGGATTCTGTCCCGGTTGCCCCTCTTCCAGGCCAGCCCTCTGCTGTGGCCAGGGAGTGCAGTGGAGGATGGCCCAGGTGCTTGGGCCCTGCACCCCATGGGAGACCAGGAAAAGCACCTGGCTCCTGGCTCCTGCCATCGGATCAGCGCGGTGTGCCGGCCGCAGCGCGCTGGCCGCGGCGGCCATTGGAGGGTGAACCAACGGCAAAGGAAGACCTTTCTCTCTGTCTCTCTCTCTCACTGTCCACTCTGCCTGTCAAAAAAAAAAAAATAATAAAAAAAAAAAAAAGTCATATTAGCACTTGCTTCCGGAGGCAGAGTCCAGACAACTCCTGATTAGTAATACACGTACCCTGGCACTTGGTCCCTCTTCTCCGCCGTCCCTTGATAAGCGCCAACTGGCAGAGGGGACGTGGAGCATTTGTCCTCCAATTGCAGTTGTTCTGAAAGATAAAGCAGGGGCAGAGATTAAAACCAGACCCGAGGTCTTTGTGCCATACTCAGCATATCAAGTGCCCCTCTTGAAATCGTACTGAACTAGCTGTATACCTTAATAAAGGAAACAGAACTATTCTTTCACTTAATAGTCTTTTAGTAAGGGTATGGGGGGCCAGGTTTACCAAAGGCCCTTACAAAACGCCAGCTTGTAATAACGCTCCTTGGCACCACGGAATCTTTTTCATGTGAACCTACATGATCACTTTTCATTTTGTTTCTCAAGCACTCCGTGGCATCCATCCATGTATTAGGCTAATAACTGCATGAATCTAGTTAAAAGGAACCAAGCAATTATTTTAATTAGACGAGAACAAAAATAACACTCCTGGCTTCTGTTTTAAGGGGCAAGAAGGAAGTAGTCAGGGTTCAAAAAGACCCCACAAAATATTTTCGTGAAAGGAAAAATAATTAAGGCCAAATTTAGAATGTACTTGCAATAAATGGGCCAAATAAAATGAATGGCAGCACTGTGCACTGAGGGGCCATTCACAGAGAAGAGAGCCCCAGAAAGTGCATTTGTACGTGACACCGTGCAGACGGGATAGCCAATTTCACAAAGTGAAAGAAGTGTCTAGGAGAGACTTTAATGATCCTTGTGAATCTCTCACACAATTTCTAAAAGAGTTGCTGTGTAAACTCTTTTATTAATAAGAGAAAGAAGAAGGATATTGGTCAATTTGCCTTTTAAGTGGGCTTTTTTTTTTTCATTTAAACTCCTCAATTGCTCAAATTTGGTTCTCTGGAGGGGGTGGGATGGTCTTCACATAAAATCCTTGTGGCTAATCCACTCTCTAAAAAGTGGATTCAGTCATAAGAGTATTTAAATCACCTACACCCAACTCAGTTACACACGAAGAGATTCTATCTCCAGATTTTCCAGAACCTTAGTCTTCCTATCTCTCTGCTGGTCATAGCATTATGACCATTTTATTCTATCTCAAACTTCCAAAAAGAGGTGAAATGAAACCTGAAATCATCAATGCAGAGACGAGATCCAGGTAGCCACCAGCTGGATGGGGCCAAGGGCATCTAACCTGTGCTGAGTCTTGAAGAACGGATTATCCAAGAGAATGATAACAATAGTCCATTCCAGGGAAAAAAGATTAGCACAGGCAAAAGCTGGAACACAAAGAATCCCAGATTCTAGCTAGCAGACAGGGCTGCAGGAATATCAAACCAAAGGCAAGAGTGAGACAAAAAGCAGGCTGGAGAGGCGAGCGAGAGCCGGGGGCTATGGTCTGAGAGGTGTTCTGCCAAGAGACCTGTGTGGGAAACTAACATCCAGGGTGGAAGTATTAAGAGGTGGAGCCTTTAGGAAATGATGAGCCCATGAGGGCTCCACTTTCATGAATAAGATTAGTATCCTCATAAAAGAGGCTTACAAGAGCCCCTTCTACCACGGGAGGATGTAGCAACAAGGCACCACCTACGAAGCAAGCACCAGGTGCTGAATTCATCAGCACCTTGATCTTGGACTCCACAGCATCCAGAACTGTGAGCGATAGATGTCTAGTGCTTATAAATTAGCCAGTTCAGGGTATTTTGTGAAGCAGCCTGAAAAGGCAAAGAGACCAGGTCATGGGAGAACTTGCACCACGTCAGTGAGCCTTGTAAGGCAATGCAGAGCCGTGAGCACTAGATTCTCAGACAAGGGTGACCACAGCCAGCTTTCCATTTTACAGTGAACAGTTGAATGGCTGAGCAGAGAACAAAATACACCCTGGGAAGCACACAAATGCCACAGCCCAGGCAAGAGCTAGGACAACAGTAGGTAGGAAAGCAGAAATGGGGTGATATATGATTTATACAGTACAGAAGGAGATTTTAAAAATTAGGTCTGGGGACTGGCCTTGTGGTGCAGAGGGTAAGAGGGTAATGCTGCCGCCTGCAAGGCTGGCATCCCATATTCAAGTGCTGATTTGAGTCCCAGCTGCTCTGCTTCAAATCCAGCTCCCTGCTAATGTGCCAGGAAAAACAGTGGCCCAAGTGCTGGGGCCCCAAACACCCACATGAGAGATCCAGATGGAATTGCAGGCTCCTGACTTCTGGCCCAGCCCAGCCCCAACCATTACAGCCATCTGGGGAGTGAACTAGCAAATAAAAGATCTCTATCTCTATCATTATCTCTATCTCTCTATTTCTCTCTATCTCTATCTCTGTTTTTATCTCTATCTATTTCAAATAAAAATAAAATATTTGAAAACAAATTTTTTAAATAATAATAAAGTCTGGAATAGTGGCTGAAGGAATCAAAAGTCAAACATAGAACTTACTTTGAAGATTCTTGGTGGGAATCAGTTGTTTTATCTGAATTTTCATTATGCATTCAAAAAGGCTTCTCCTATTATTGGTTCTCTTTTCAACTCGGTACGGGCCTTAATCATGGACTCCAGGATTGGAATGGAGTGACAGATTCCAACCTTGGACTCAAGAGCACCCAGCTCCAATGCACCCGCAGAACACAGTCTCAGGCTACTTCCTTTCCAGTGCTAATTCACCCAAAAGCAGCCTGCTGCTGGAAGTCTAAGTCAAAATACACAGAAGCCTGGAAAGTAATAAAATTGTGGTAAATACTCAACCAGGACAAAGTCTGCATATCTGTCATTACCATTACCATACTGGACTTGAATTTTTAAAAGAATATAAGGTAGATACTTTTCATCTCATTTTATGAGCAAACTGAACCTTGATGAAACAACCAGTAAGGACTTATACATAAAAAATTACAGATAAATTTCACTTGAAAACCATAAAAATTAATTTTAACTAATATGAGCAAAACCCATGCAGCAATCCATAAAATATCACAAGCAAATTTCTCCAAAATATAAGGTCAGCTTAATATTCCAGAAACCCCTTCAGAGATGGCTATTTGGGCCAGTGATTAAGATGCCAATGATGACGACCATATCCTGTATCAGAGTACCTGGGTTCACCGTCTGGCTCTGGCTTCTGACTCCAGCATCCAGCTAATTATACGAACTTTGGGAGGCAGTGGTAGTGGCTCAAGTAATTGGGTTCCTGTCACCCACATGGGAAACCTGCATTGAATTCCTGGCTCCTGGTTCCAGTGCCTCCCTTCTCATCCACACCCCTCAACCACCTGCTGTTTGCAGGCATTAGGGAAGTGAACCAGAGGATGGGAACTCTCTCTGTCTATCTGCCTCTCTCTTTCTGCCTTCCTGCTTCTCAATTTAAAAAAAAATGTTTTATCATCCAATAATTCACCATGCACACAGAATAAAGGGAAAAAAGTCATATGATCACTCTCTAGATGAGTGCTTGATTTATGACAAAACTACCACGGCAGAGCATTGAAGAAAGGGAAGTCTTTTTCATCAGCAGTGCAGAGGGAATGCATGTCATACAGGGAAGAAAAAGCTTTGTCCAACCTTACGCTGTATCAGTACTATGTGGATTATTGAAAGGTAGAGCAACAAGGAGGATACTTTCATGGCTTGGCATAAGCAGAGTTCCCTTAAATAGGGCATAGAAAGCATTGACCATGGAAGAAACTATTGGTAAGTTAGACTGTATTAAAATTAAAAGTATAGTTAAATTAAAATCATCTGTCCATCTAAAATACCATTTAAAGAGAGTGAAAGTCAAGCTTGGAGAGGGTAAATGATATTTGCAACCAAAAAGCTTCATACCTAGAATATATATATAAATATCTTCTTTTTTTAAAGATTTATTTTATGTATTTGAAAGGCACAGTTACAAAGAGAGAGAGAGAGAGAGATCTTCCATCTGCTGATTCACTCTCCAAACAGCCACACTGGCCAGGGCTGAGCCAGTCCAAAGTCAGGAACCAGGAGCTTCTTCCAGGTCTCCCATGTGGGTGCAGGGGCCCAAACACTTGGGCCATTTCCCTCTGATTTCCAAGGCCCATTAGCAGGAGTCCTGGGAAGCCAGGACTCAAACCAGAACCTATATGGGATGCTGGCACTGCAGGCAGCATTGCACAACCCCAAAATACCAGCCCCAAATGATATTTTGTGATTTGTTTTAACTCCTTCTCCAGGCACATTAGCAGGGGTCTGGATTGAAAGTGGAACAGTCAGGTCTTGAATCCATGTCCTTATGGCATGGCAGTGTTGCAGGTAGTGAATATATAAATATCTTCTAAAATCAATGAGAAAAATGAACGATCTAATAGGAAAATGAGGATAATTGAAAAAAAAATTCACATAAGAGAATATACAAAAGGCCAATATACCTGAAAAAGATGCTTGATTTATTAATAGCCAAGGAAAGTGAATTAAAATCACAATGAAGGAGCCAGTACTGTGGCACAAGATTAAGCCACCACCTGCAGTGCCGGCATCCTATATGGGTGCCGGTTCAAGTCCTGGCTGCTCCACTTCCAATCCAGCTCCCTGCTATGGCCTGGGAGAGCAGTAAATGATGCCCTAAGTCCTTGGACCCTGGCACCCACGTGGGAGACCCTGAAGCAGCTCCTGGCTTTGGATCAGCTCTGCCCCAGCTGTTGTGGCCATTTGGGGAACAAAACAGCCTATGGAAGAAATCTTTCTGGTCTCTCTTCTCTCTCTCTCTCTCTAACTCTTTCAAATAAGTAAATAAATCTTTTTAAGAAAATAAGAAAACCCCAATGAGACTCTACCACCTGCCACAGAATTACCAAAACCAACACGACTGAGAATACCAGGTGCCAACAAGGATACAGAGCAGCTGCAACTGTTACCCACTGCTGGTGGGAGTGGAAACTGAGGCAATCTCTTGGGAAAAGCATTAGCTATTAAAGCTTAGTTATAGTCAGTCAAGTCTTACAATCCAGTAGCTTCCCCTTTAGTGTCTCCAAGACT